TTTTTTTTTTTTTTTTTTTAAGTTTATGTATTTATTTTTTGGGGGGGGGAGGGCACGCACACACAACCAGGGGAGGAGCAGAGACGGAGAGAGAGAATCCTAAGCAGGCCCCGTACCACCTTCAGCACAGAGCCTGGTGCGGGGCTTGATCTCACAAACTCGTGAGGGCTTGACCTGAGCCAAAGCAAAGAATCTGCCGCTTAAACCACTGAGCTCCCCAGGTGCGCCCAGATGCCTCCTTCTGACAGGACCCTTGGATACAGTCTTTGGTAGCTAGTGTCTGTGCTCTCCGGAGCGAGAAGATATTCCAGATTCATTCCTGCCCTAAACCTGAATCATCCATTTCTCCAGTGGGGCCTGGTGCCTTTAACGGGAGCTGGAGGTTCAAGGCTACGATCTGGGCTTTCAGAACTTGCACAGACTTTGTAAGATTTTTATGAACTGTTTGGAGTTGGGAGGGGCCCTGGAGACCATCGCGCATGCCCAGAAAGGAGAGGTGGCCTGTTTAGACACTTAGCTAGGTGATCTCAGCGCTAGGGTAGCAGTGTTCTCCTGATCCCCAGGGTTCCCTCCATCACAGATCCCGGCAGGACGGCCACGTCGCCTCCGAGACCCTGGAGGGCCCATCGGTACCGTCGCTTGTCCCCTTCGGTGCGTTCTAGTCAGGGGAGGAGGTTGTTAACTGAATGTCTGGTTCTGTCCTGGGTGTTGGTCATTAAGAGCCTGGTAAACTGTTGGTGCCTGGCCTGCTTCTGAGGGTGTGGCTGCTCCTCCTCTTCCTTCTTCTTTTTAAAAAAATTTTTTTTTTTTAAATGTTTTATTTATTTCTAGGAGAGCGAGAGAGAGACAGTGTGAGCAGAGGAGGGCCAGAGAGAGAGGGAGTCACAGACCGAAACAGGCTCCAGGCTCTGAGCTGGCAGTCAGCACAGAGCCCGACGCGGGGCTTGAACCCACGAACCGCGAGATCATGACCCAAGCGAAAGTCGGACGCCCAACCGACTAAGCCACCCAGGCGCCCCATCTTTTTAAAAAATTTTTTAATGTTAACTTATTTTTGAGAGACGGAGACAGAATGCGAGCAGGAGAGGAGCAGAGAGAGAGAGAGACAGAACCTGAAGCAGGCTCCAGGCTCTGAGCTGTCAGCACAGAGCCCAGTATGGGGCTCAAACTCATGAGCCTGAGATATCACGACCTGAGCCGAAGTGGGACGCTTAACCGGCTGAGCCAGCCAGGCACCCCCTCTTCCTCCTTTTTTTAACATTTATTTTTGAGAGAGACAGAGCATGAGCAGGGGAGGGGCAGAGAGAGAGGGAGACACAGAATCCGAAGCAGGCCCAGGCTCTGAGCTGTCAGCACAGAGCCCAATGCAGGGCTGGAATTTACGAGCCATCAGATCATGACCCGAGCCAAAGTCGGATGCTTAATCGACTGAGCCGCCCAGGCGCCCCCTCCAGGCGTAGCTTAGAATGTCCACTCCCCAGGTAAGCAGTTTCAAATGCAGGATAGTTAAAAGTTTACATATCCTGAACAACCGTTTTCCTCTTCTTGCAGCTTTTGGAGTATTGCTTTGGGAAATCGCTACCTACGGCATGTCCCCTTACCCAGGAATCGACCTGTCCCAGGTGTACGAGCTGCTAGAGAAAGACTATCGCATGGAGCGCCCGGAAGGCTGCCCAGAGAAGGTCTACGAACTCATGCGAGCGTGTGAGTCTCCCCCAGCCAGTTCTAAACGTTCTGTGCAGGCTTTGTGAGGAATTCCCAGGCAAGAGTCGTTTCCTAAAGTAAAAAAAAGCACTTCCCTTCCTATCTTCATTCACATTCTTCAGAAGCAGCTCATGTACCAGGTGCAGTCACTCAGACCCCCCCCCCCACACCATACACACACACACCATACACATTATTTATATGTAGTATTTATGTGTGTGGCTCTTCCTGTTTTCATGCAAAAATGGGATTGAATGATACCAAACTTTGATTTCTTATTAATAAATACAAATTCTTGGGCCCTACCTTCAAACATTCTGCTGTAGGAGGTAATACTCCAGGTGACATTTACCTGGGTTGGTTTTATTTCGTGTGTGTATGTGTATAAAAGAATTCCCTCAACTTTTTTTGCACACAGCCATATGGCTAATGTGTATTTCACATCCACATTTTGAAGATCCCTTCCTCTCCCCATCCCTGTATTTTTATAGCTATTTAACTTCCCGTTAAATGATTTATTCCTTCCTCTATCCCCCTCTTGATGGGCATTTACTTGTTCCTGTGGGTTTTTTCCCCAATGTTTGTTTATTTTTGAAAGAGACAGAGTGTGAGCGGGGAAGTGGCAGACAGAGAATTCAAAACAGGCTCCAGGCCTCTAGCTGTCAGCACAGAGCCCGATGCGGGGCTCAAACTCATGAACCGCGAGATCATGACCTGAGCCGAAGTCGGATGCTTAACCGACTGAACCATCCAGGCGCCCCGCATGTTTGGTTGATTTACACACGTTTGGCTTTTGCCATCGTCAACAAAGCTGCAAGAAACACCCCCACATACGTTGTGCTGGTAGTTCTGAAAGCTGGACTGCTGGTCCATAGAGCTATTTACGTTCTAAATCTTGTAAGATTTTACCGAATTGTTTTCCGGGAAGTGTGTGTTCCAATTTATATCCCCACCAGCAGCGTAGGAGCGTAATTCTGCATCCTCACCAACACGAGGCTCCGTAATCCTCCATCGGTCCATAATCCCCTCGTTCACCTTGTTTCAATTAGCCTTCCTGTACTGATGAGAACTTCAGACTCTGATAACCCAGGAGTGAGGGTAAAGTGGAAGGCAAGCCACTTGACTCGCTGGCCCTCTGCCCTGGGTAGAGTGGGGCCGGGGAGAAGGTTTATAGATACGCTTTTGCTGTCCCTTCTCTCTAGGGCTTTACAGCCCATATTCTTGTCAGTATCTAGAAGTCTTTTCAGATTCTTAATGTCTGTAGCAGGACACGGTGATGTTCGTCACTTGTCCCAGCAAAAGATGGTTTGCAAGATTTGGGGTGCTTCTTTCACTGAGACTTTCCTTGAGAATTACGACCCCCCCCCCCCACCCCCGCCGGTGATGGGGCCTCATGCTTGCTCTGCCTGCGTCTCGTGTGTGCAGGTTGGCAGTGGACGCCCTCCGACCGGCCCTCCTTTGCTGAAATCCACCAGGCCTTTGAGACCATGTTCCAAGAGTCCAGCATCTCGGATGGTAAAGTGCCCATCCCCGGGGGCGCCTACCGTGGGGTGAGAGGTTGGGATGGAAGGGACGGCAGGCAGGGCCCCAGCCCTTGCCCTCTGGTTCAGCTCCCGCTAGAGGAGCCCCAGGCCAGCAAGGTCTCCCGAGACCAGAGAGCTGGGCAGAGGTGCGGGGCCTGGCACTGGCTCACGGCCAGGCGCCGTTCTGGAAAGTACCGAGTGCAGTTTCCTCGGCCTCTGTGTCTCTTTTTTCTGTAACTGCGCGCGGGTGACCGCTCTTGCCCGAGAAGAGAAGGGGCACCAGCGCACCAAACCGACGCCGTTACTAATGGCTGCTGATTTCTGTTCTTGTTTTCGGCGGCTCTCAGAGGTGGAAAAGGAGCTGGGGAAGAAAGGCGTGCGAGGGGCCGCAGGGACTTTGCTGCAGGCCCCAGAGCTGCCCACCAAGACGAGGACGTCCAGGAGAGCCGCGGAGCACAGAGAGCCCGCCGACGCGGCCGAGGCGCCCCACTCCAGGGGCCCGGGAGAGACCGGTACGTGCCCCGGCCCAGGGGGGCCGCAGCGTAGGCGGGGGGGCAGGCTGAGTCCTCGTCGCCCGTCCAGCTTTGGAAGGAGGAAGGCTCTGCTCTCGCCCGCAGCCCGCCCTCCTCCTGGGAATCCGCAGGAACCGCGGGCGTCGGTGGGGAGCCTGGTCAGGTAGGCGCCGGTGCCCATGAGACCGACGGGCAGGACAGACCCTCCTCCGCGCGTGTCGTTCGCGGCGCTTGGGGCTCTCGCAGCACAGACGCCGCCGGTAAACATGGAGCCGGGCGGAGAGCAGCCTGCTGTGGAAGCGGGTATGAAAAGCGCCCTGGAACGGACCGAGGAGGGGGACGCCCGCGGCACAGCCCGGTCCCCACCTGCCGTTCCCAAGACAAGCGAGGGGGGTGGGGTGGTGCGGGGTCTCAGGATGCTCCCAGGAGCGCAGCTCGCAGACAGGGACCTGGTGGCCCTGGGCGCCGTGCTCTCCTCTGAGTTGGGCCTCTTTGGTGGAGCACTCGCCTCCCCCCCCCCACCGCCGAACCTCAGAAATCTGGCCTCATAGAGGCTCCTCAGGGATGCTCTGATAGACCACAGACTGAGCACGTGCGAGGGGGCACGACAGAGCCCGAATTAGGGGGTGCTGAGCCGTAGCAGGATCTGCTGTCCCAGGATTCCCCCCCATTTTTTTTTAAATGTTTTATTTATTTTTGAGAGAGAGAGAGAGAGAGACAGAGCATGAGCAGAGGAGGGTCAGAGAGAGGGGGAGACACAGAATCCATGAAGCAGGCTCCAGGTTCTGAGCTGTCAGCACAGAGCCCAATGTGGGGCTTGAACCTGTGAACCACGAGATCATGACCTGAGCCGAAGTCGGACGCCCCACTGACTGAGCCCCCGAGGCGCCCCTCCTCAATTTATTTTATTGTAGGCCCATGTTAGTGGGAAAAAAAAAGCAGAAAACAAAAGTTAGATGGGAAGCATAAGCGTACATGTGTCCTGCTGTTCAAATAACGTCTAATTTAAAATATACCAAAAACTTACGCTTTTAGGAAGTTTACATAAGAAAATAAGTCGGTAGTGTTTTTCCTTCCGCACCCCTGATTCGCCCTGCTCGCCCACGTGGAGGCCGCGGCACACGGACCAGTTGTCATGATTTCGGACAGCTGAGCGGTGGGAACAGGGAGAGGCCACCGTGGGAACTCGAGGCTTATCAGAAGCCCGATGTCAGGCCGTCCTGTTCGTTTCTGGCCGTCGGGGTTCACGTGAGGGGCCTGTGAGGGGGAGGGTCAGCTCATGCGACGGGGCCGCAGGGAGTTCGTTAGAATCTCACTTCCTCTGCCTTTCGCTGGATGAAGGTTGGGGGAGGGCCTTGGGCTCCCCGGGGTCAGGCGTCCTGCGTGCCCCCTGTTGCCCCGAGAGGCGTCCCCTGTGCAGACCGCTCTCCTCACAGCCGCCCCCTGAGGGAGACTCCCGTCATTCACTGGCCGCAAGCTTGGCAGCGCTGGAAAGATTTCTTAGGAGCTTATTATTCATAGATAAAGAATGTCCACTTAAACATTCGTAAAGGTCAGTCCTTGTTTGCCGAGCGTAATAGCCCATTGTCACGGCGCTGAGTCGCCCGTCCTTTCAGACCCCACCTCCTGGGAACCTCATTGGCAGGTCCGAAAGGCACAGCACCTGACCCACTGCTCGGTCTTGTCGTGGGTTTCACACAGCAGATGGGGTACTGGGCGGGGGGGGGGCTCTGTGCTGTAAAGGAAGCCTCAGTGCAGGGGTGAGGGGCCAGGGTGCTGCAGCTTTCTGTGCTGCTGTCCTCAAGGAAAGAAACCTGTGCTCTGCCTGATAATAATGGTAACAGCAGAGGTGATGGTGGGCCACTCCATATCAGAAGCTGGGACAGAGTTGCCCTTCACGTTGCATTGTGCTCACACAACCACGCTGCAGGAGGGTTTTCATTTCTCTTTTTAGCTTTGGGTCGCCTGGGTGGCTCAGTCGGTTAAGCATTTCTCTTTTTAGCTTTCGCTTCTTTATTTTGAGAGAGCTTGAGCAGGGGGGACAGGCGGGGCTGGGGGGAGACCAAGAATCCCAAGTAGGCTTCCTGCTGTCCGCACAGAGCCCGACGTGGGGCTCGATCTCACAAAACACGAGATGGTGACCTGAGCCCAAATCAAGAGTCGGACGCGTGACCGACTGAGCCGCCTTGGTGCCTCGCCTGCGGGTGGGTTTTGGTCTCCATTCCGTAGGTGAGAACGCTGAGGGCGTGTGGAGAGACCTTGCGGCCGGGCGTGTTAGCGGAGCTGGTGCTCACACACGTAGGCTGGTCCGAGCCCCGACTCAGGGCCGCTCCTCTGGGGAGCCGGTGGCCAGCCCTGGGCTCCCCCGCCAAGGAGCCTCCGCTCTGACGTTGTTCGACTCTTCCCACTGTGTGTTTCAGATCCTCTGGACCACGAGCCGCCTGTGTCCCCGCTGCTCCCTCGGAAAGAACGGGGTCCCCAGGACGGCGGCCTGAACGAGGACGAACGCCTTCTCCCCAAAGACAAGAAGACCAACTTGTTCAGTGCCTTGATCAAGAAGAAGAAGAAAACGGCCCCGACGCCCCCGAAACGCAGCAGCTCCTTCCGGGAGATGGACGGCCAGCCCGAGCGCAAGGGGCCCGGCGAGGACGAGGGCCGAGAAAGCAGCAACGGGGCGCCGGCGCTCGCACCCTCGGACGCAGCCGAGCCAGCCAAGGCCCCGAAGCCCGGCGGCGGGGCCGGCATCCCCAACGGAGCCTTCCGGGAGTCGGGGGGCGCGGGCTTCCGGTCTCCCCACCTGTGGAAAAAGTCCAGCACACTGACCAGCAGCCGCCTGGCCGCCGGCGAGGAGGAGGGCGGCTGCGGCTCCGGCAAGCGCTTCCTGAGGTCCTGCTCTGCCTCCTGCGTCCCCCACGGGGCCAGGGACACGGAGTGGAGGTCCGTCACGCTGCCTCGGGACCTGCAGTCCACGGGCAGGCAGTTCGACGCGTCCACGTTCGGGGGCCGCAAGAGCGAGAAGCCGGCCCTGCCTCGGAAGCGGGCCGGCGAGAGCAGGTCCGACCAGGCGGCCAGAGGCGCGGTGACGCCCCCACCCCGGCTGCCAAAGAAGCCCGAGGAGGCAGCTGACGAGGTCTTCCGAGACACGGGCGAGTCCAGCCCGGGCTCCAGCCCCCCGAGCCTGACCCCAAAACTCCTCCGCCGGCAGGGCACGGGGGCTCCTCCCGCCGGCCTTCCCCACAGGGACGAGGCTGCCAAGTCCAGTGCCTTGGGGACACCTGCCGCCGCCGAGCCAGTGCCCCCCGCCGGCAGAGCCGGGCCGGCTGCGGCCGGAGGGACCGCCAGAGCGCCCGCCGAGGAGCCCAGGGCGCGGAGGCACAAGCCTTCCTCCGAGTCCCCGGGGAGAGACAAGGCGAAACTGGCCAAGCTCAAACCTGCCCCGCCGCCCCCGCCGCCGGCCTCCGTGGGGAAAGCCGGGAAGCCCGCGCACAGCCCGACCCAGGAAGCGGCCAGTGAGGCCGGCGCCGGCGGGAAGGCCAAGGCCGCGGCTGTGGTCGCGGATGCCGTGAACAGTGACGCTGTTAAGGCCGGCCCGCTGGGAGAGGGCATCAAAAAGCCCGGGCTCCCGTCCGTGCCAAAGCCACAGTCGTCCGGCAAGCCCGCGGGGGCGCCGGCCGGCGCGGCTCCCGCCCCCGCCCCCTCCACGGTGCCGTCCGCGTCCTCCGCGCTGGCCGGGGACCCGCCAGCCTCCACGCCCTTCATCCCTCTCATATCGACGCGCGTGTCTCTCCGGAAAACGCGGCAGCCTCCGGAGCGGATCGCCAGCGGCACCATCACCAAGGGCGTGGTCCTGGACGGCACCGAGGCCCTGTGCCTGGCCATCTCCAGGAACTCCGAGCAGATGGCCAGCCACAGCGCCGTGCTGGAAGCCGGCAAAAACCTGTACACGTTCTGCGTGAGCTATGTGGATTCCATCCAGCAAATGAGGAACAAATTCGCCTTCCGCGAGGCCATCAACAAACTAGAGAACAACCTCCGCGAGCTGCAGATCTGCCCGGCGTCAGCGTGGAGCGGCCCGGCCGCCACGCAGGACTTCAGCAAACTCCTCAGCTCCGTGAAGGAGATCAGCGACATCGTGCAGAGGTAGCAGGAGCCGGCCGCCAGGCCAGCCGGAGCCGCCCACGGCGTGTCAAGCCCACCCCCCCCAGCCTGCCCCCCGCCTGCGTCGGACCCCGGACCAGGGAGTTGGGCCCTTGGCCCGGGAGCACCCCGCCACGCCGCGCGGAGCCGAGGGCCGCCGCGGACCGCAGCCCACTACCTATGTGTTTGCAGCTGTCCCTCACCGCCCCCCGCCCTCAGCCCCGGGCTCCCCGAGGCGCCTCTGTCCCGAGTTCTATCTGTGGAGTCCCTGCTCGTTGGACTGCTCTCGGCCCGCCAGCCTCTTCCCCACAATGGGCTCCAGGACTGAGCCCTTCCAGCCACGTTTCCTCTTCGCTGGTCTTTTCTGGAGGCCCTCCCCCGGGTACGCCTTCTCCTCCCCCGAGAACAAGCGCCCAGAACAGGAGCCTGGTCACCAAGGCCCTGGGAGCTGTCGGCCGCGCTCCCCCCGCGGAGGGGACCTGCACGCTCCTCCTACGGTGCTCGCCCCGCCCCCGCACCGAAGACCCTTTTCCAGAACTCCATCCTGGGAGGCGCTTGCCAGCTGGGCGCTCTGCCCTCCCTGGCCCTCACGTGAAGGACAGCTCTCGTTTTGGGGGCTGAACCGGGGTGCTGAAGCCAACCGGCCCTTGGGTGCTTGCTGTCTGGTGGCCGGTGGTGCCCGTCCTGGAGGAAAAGCTTGAGTCCTAAGGGTAGCAGGGTCAGGGGAGGGAGGGGGGGTGGCTGGGGGAGCCCCAGACAGCCCCGGGGCTGGGCCCAGCCTGCCTTCGTTTCGGGCTTCCAGGTGCCCGGAAAAGGCACTCGGTCTTTATTTCTGACCGATCTCACCCTCCCTCCCCTGTGCTCGTCTGAGACCAGGGAGGTTCGTGCAGAGCTCTTTCCTGTGTGACAACAGGCTTTAGTTTTCTGGAGCATTTCACAGCTCTGAGCTCAGCGCAGTCGCCTCCGGCACACGAGGACCGGCCCCCAGTGCACGGGAGGAGAGGGGACTGTGGTGCCAGCGCCCCACCCGTTGCTGGCTGTGCACTGCGAGGCAAGTGTCCTTTTGAATCACCGTGAGCAGCACTTAGCCCACCGTTTCTGTGGGGGCATCAGGGATGGAGAAAACCACAACCGGATGAAGCCCCAGAGACTCTCCAGGCTGCCCAGGCCGCCTTGACCTTGACCTAGAGCCGCTGCTCAAGGAGGGGGCAGGCACCTGCCTGGGCCTCCTGCCGGGCCCTGGCGGGACCTCCTTCCACACGCCCTGGTGACGGTGACCTTGCACGGGGCCCATTTTTATGCTCGTCGCCCAAACTTGTATTTTATTTCTCTGGTAGAGATGGCTTCCAACGGATCCACTTAACGCCGTCCTCGACAGCTGGGCATCTCTTTGCCCCCTCCCCCCCTCCAGACATCTGTGTCACACAGACTTGGAGGGAGGGGCTAGAACACCACCAGCGGCCTTGCAGACAAAGCAGAACCGACCCCACCCAGGTCCCCTCGAGTTCCCGCCTCCGAGGTACTGGTTTCTCTTTGTTCACGCGACATGCCACTGTATCTCGCATTTATACCTTCGTATTACACTCTTTTATAGACTTGCTCTTTTATAAAAGACGTGTAAATAGTTTTCCACTACTCTTCCTTCTCCAATGCTTATGGTGTCTTTTTTTTTTTTTTTTTTTGATCCAGTACATTCTCTGTATATGACTCTGTTTTTTGAAGTCACATCTCCCCGTAGTATTTTTTAAATAAATGTTTACAGCATTAGAACTCGGGCAGGTGGGTCTGGTGTGTCATTTTCCCGTCCCCCAGCCCCCGAGCTGTGGCGTGCGTGTGGGAGGGAGGGAGTCCTCGGGGGCCGGGGGGCTCCGTGGTGGGTTTTACAGCCTGCGTCCCGCGTCTTCCTCGGCCCGTCCACAGCAGTTGCCCTGCCCTGGCCCCGGGCCCTTCTGGTGCCCTTGACGCGGATCCGGCGGCAGCCCTGGGAGTGAGCTCTGCCACCAGATGGGGGGGAAGGGGAGCCCAAGGGTGGCCCCCGCTGTCAGGCCGTCACAGCATTGTTGACTCAGGGATGGGGTGCGTCCAGGCTCCGGCGCCTCCACAGGTGCCCCCTCTCCTGTGCCTGTGAACCCGCCCCGTCTCCCGGCGGCCCCCGAGGCGCTCCTTGCTCGCCGCGGCCCCCACGCCCTGTGTCTTATTTCTCTCTGTGCATGAGGAGGGCAGCAGGGCTGGAAATGCCACCTGGGGCATGTGGCCTCTCCCAGCCCCCCTCCCCTCCCCATCGAGGGGACCTAGGGGACCCGGGAGGGGGGCGCCTGCGGCCGTTTCCTCGTCTTGGCCTCCATTTAACGCCAGCTGACAGCTTGGAAATTGGCAGTCGGGGAAGTAAGTGGCGCTGTCTGGTAATGATACTTATTAAGCCAGCAGACTTGTCAGAGGACACGGTCCTGCTCACCGGAGCGTGTGGAAGGCCACGCTTGAGCGGATGGGAGAGGAGGCCCCCGGGCGGTGAGGCCTGGCGGGGCCTTGGGGTGTGCTCACACCCAGGGGGCTGCCAGACCCCCTCCCTCGTTTCACGGAGGCCCGGGCCACGCTCTGCCCGTGGCTCGGCCGTAACTGGGCACCAGATCTCCCCAGTCAGATAAGCCTTCCTAGAGTGACAGCTCTCAGGTGACTTGCAGTGGCGGCCATGACCACCGACGGCCTCTCCCTCCAGGCCGGACGCGAGCCTGCCCCAAGGCGTCCCCTCCGAGCACGTTATCCCATTTTCTTGACGCCCAGCACTGAGGCTGCCACTGGTCATGGCTCTCACGTGGTGTCACATGCCAGTCACCGTGGCGGCCGTGCTGGGGCAAGTATGGGTCTTCTCTCAAATAAGAGCCTTCCGTGCGTCACCTGGGCTTCAGAAACTGACTTGGGTCCAGCCGCTCCGGGACAGTGGGTCAGGTCACAGAGCCCCTTGGGAACTTGGCGCACCTGGATCGAGCCGCCGAAGACGCCTGCGTGTGAGCACACGCTTGTCGGGTAATTTCAAGGCCTGGCCTCCAGGTCCAGAGCCAAGGAGCACCCAAGGGTCGAGCCTGCCAGAAGGGCCAGCGGCCGCTGTTGATAGTTACCACAAACTACCTGCCCAAGTGGCAAAGTGAGGATCTTGGGAAGAGCTCCTCAGCCTGAGAACCTTCCATCGGCACAGAGGAGCAAACGTGCCGTGTTGAGGAGGCGGGACGCCCCGCACGGTGGAGACGGCGCCTCGGCCACGATACCATCTGTACGCGAGTCTCGCGAATGTAAGGTTGAGCCGAAGCAGCCAGACACGCAGTGGTGATGCCAGAAGCTTCCACGTGTTGACTGCCACGCAGCTCATCTGTGGTTTGGTGCTGGAAGTCAGGACGGAGGGTCGAGCCGGGTTGGGGTGCAGGGGAGCCCGGTGGGGGCGGATAACGCCGTGTTTCTCAGCCCAGGTCGCGCCAGCTGACAGGGGTGTTGCTTGGTGAAAACGCACTGAACTGTGCGCTCAGCACGGAGCTCCTTCTCCACATGCATCATGTTCCAGTCGGGGAGTTTTCTTAACATCACAGGCCACACGTGGGCCTTTGCAGCCACTACAGCCAGGCTGTGCGTCACCACGTGAAACCCTCTCTCTCTCTTTTTTTTTTTTTTAGCAAAGGAGATTCTGTCACTATCATCATTTGACATGTGAGAAAGTCGAGGCTCAGAGATGTGAAGCAGCTTGCCCAGGATCACACAGCATGTGCTGCTGTCCCGTGCTGGACTAACCGACAGTGTAGACGGCCCCAGCATGACCAGCAGGGAGCTCTGTGCTCCGGAGCCAGGCCCCTCCTCCCTCTGTCGTGGAAGGAAAGTCGAGAACTGCAGGCAGCCCAGCTTCTCCGGCGTCAGGGGTTGACACAGGAGGCATTCCCAAACCGAGTGTCCGGGGAATCCACTTCCGCGTGTTGCCTTGGCGCGGGACCCGTCGGGTGGGACAGGACTGACAGCTGTGGTGTCTCTGTCATGCCTGCCCGCGCCCCTGACGGCCACCCACCCAACGTCATGGGCAGGGCCCCGGCTCCCTGCCCGGGGACAAAAGCACCTTATGTGAGTTGGGGATTTCAGGGGCCGCGCAGTCTCTCCCGTCCTGGGCAAAGTTAGGACAAGGTGGCTCCGCCCTGACCTCAGCAGCCGCTGGATGGCCCGCTGCCCCACCAGCCTCCTTCCTCCTTAAACGTTTTTATTACTGTTTCAGACACGTGCAAAGTACAGACAAAAATACTCCCCATCCAGTTTTTAGCGAAACGCCGTTAGATCCGCAGCCCAAGAGGAAGGCTGTTTCTGCGCGTCTTGCGTAAATGCGCCATAAGGACGCAGGCAGGTGCCTAGGCTGGAGCGGCCGCGCCCTCACGCCCGCTAGAGCAAACCCGCACTGCTCGCGGGAGCGGACTCTGCCTGCAAAGTCAGTGTTTTCCAGAGCCTCCCCTTCACTAATCTGGAGAGAGATCGTCCCCACCAAGGAGGACGAGGGGGTGGCTGGCGTAAGAGGCCCCCACATCTCCACCAAGCTGGGGGGTTGGGGGTAGAGCGAGGGGCGGGGAGCCGGAGCGGTGATGGCACCGGATGCACCGGGAGTGGATTGAACAGAGCAATCCCTTAACAGTTGGGTCGTTGAGATTTTCAGGGCTATTGAGCTCTAACTTACAAGGAACTGGAAAGAAGACCTTTGTGGCTGATCGTCGTTGAACAATGAAAGTAATGACAGGACATCCACTCCCCCCGCTCCTGTATCTCCGGTTTCTCTGAGGTTAATCTCCTCCCACTGAATTAGAAACCAGCCAGTATGTTCCCAAAGTGTAAGCACACGCAGGTGACTGTGCTCGGCCTGGGTGACCTCCAGGCTCCTGCACTTAGTGACCACGGGGGTGGCTCCTTTTATTCTCAGAGCGGAAACTGGCAAGCGAGGGTCACCAGGGGACCCTGCCCTTGGCCTTTGGTCTGTCCTGTGTCACCTGCTTTTCCACAAGCACGTTCTCTGGCTTCTCTGCACATGTGAATGAGCGAAGGGAGCTTACCGCCCCTCCCCCCCCCAATAAAGCAGAAATGGGGCAAGACCGGGGTGAGAACCCGGGCTGGGACTGCCCGTCCTTCACGTGGCCGCCCTGTGCTGTCTGTCCTCAGCTCCAGAGCTGTCCGTGGACACGCTGGGACTCGTTCTCCTGAGGTTTGCCCTCTGTGGCTCCAGGGCTGAGTGTTCGCCTCCTTTTACCAACAGACGAAGACCCCAGGGTGTGTTCCATCCCCCCCCCCAACTGTCACATTCGCAGGAGGCCACAGAGGACATGCTGTGCCCCCCAGACTCCATGTGGCTGTCTGGCCCCTGTCCCGGCTACGTGTGCCCAGGCGGCGGGAAGAAGCCGCTAGGAGCTTCCGGAGAAGGCAGCTCCCTTCAACGCAAGTGATGTTTTGGATTCCTGCGTGCTTGTCCCATCCTGCCACCCGGTTTCAGTCAGCCTGGCTCTTTGGTGGCTCAGATCTGTCACCCCGTAATGAAGTGGCTTTCTGGCTGCCACGGATTGAGAGCTGCTGCTGGGGAATCTCAGTCACTAATAGAACGGAAAACACTTGTGAAACGCTCCGAGGTGCCAAGCTGGGCCCAGCCCAGTGTGGTTCTAAAAGGCTAATAAAACTCCACCAATTAATTGTGACAGCTCAATGGAAAATTATTCAGTTGTGAACAGGGCCGAGCTGCAGCTCCGGAGGAGGAGGGGAGGTGTTGCCATAGTGACATCAATCCAGGTTCTCATCTCCGCGGTCGAAGCCAGCCCGGGAGCGAGCGGCTTCACGCCACCGCGCCTGACACGGGATGGGAGAGGGACGCAGCACAGCATTTGAAAGAGCCGCCGTGCCTCGCCCCGGGCCTGCGGCCACTCCAGGCTGAGCGCCGGCCTCCCCTGGGGTGGACAACCTGTTCTCGGAATGCTCTCGGCTTTGAGAAAGCCTGGGGAGAAGCAGTCAAGTGCAGCTGGAAAACACACCTAGTGCTGTGTTTCCCCCACCTTTGACCGTCGGTGTCTTACCAGCTGCCAATTAAGGGGCTGCTAGGACAGGTGTGGAGATCCGCACCACCGTTTCCATCTCCCCAGAGTTCAGGCACTCGCAGCTCCGGAAAAACCCAAATTCCTGGGGCACAGAGGACCCGGAGGCAAGAGCCGGGTGAGCGACGCTTCCCATTCCGGTTCTGCAGCTAACAAGTTTTATTTCCAAAGAGACACACAGCGCGTTCACATTCTGAGCGTTTGAGATGCAGCCTTGCCAGAGCACAAATGCATCCTGCCCCGTTCGTCTGCCACTCGACTCTGGGCGTGGCACACTGTGCCACCCGAGGACGGGAGGGGAGGGAGGTGCAGCCGGGGGTCCGAATGACATCTCGACAGCACGGAGGGGCTCGTGTGTTCATGGGACAGAGAGCAAGATTGTTTTTATTTTTAACTTTCAGACCCGAACTCCGCAGCGGGTGGAACGCACTCTCACGGCCGCACGATGGACGTCGGTTCCAGACGGCCCCGCGGAGACTGTCAAAACTTCGATGACCCCACTGCCGTCACCGCCAGCCCACCTCCCTTCAGCCCACCCAGCTCTCTGCCTGTTCATATTCATGGCCCGACAGCGCCCGGCCGCCAGGCCGCCAGCCGCCGCTGGGCCAGGGGACCGCTGAGACCCGGCCGCCCGGGAAGGGGACTGGAATGGACGCTGGGCTGGAGCTACATCAGGGCAGCGCCGCCTCCTCCACCGGGACGCGGCTCGCTTTGGGTCACCTCCCTTCTGAATACCATCCAGGTTTTTGCCTGAGCCGAGTCGGAAATCAAAAGGATGCACCCACCTAAGCGATCCTACTGCTAAGAACTCATTTTAATAATCCCCGCACCTTCTCAGTATCCTGGCCTTTGGGGCTCAAGGAGAAGACGGGGCGGGTGGGGGGCTGGTGGAGGCAGTAGTGGGGAGGGTCCACGGAGAAGCCCTTTCCAGGCTGCTCTGACCCTGACCCCTTCACCGCCGGCCGAAGCGGAAGCTGAAGCCGCCTTTCTTCCTGCTGTAGCCGCTGAGCTCCTCGGCCAGGGTCCCCAGCGGGCCTCCGGCCTTGTCGCCGTCCGCCAGGAGGAAGCCGGTCGCCTCGCTGCCGTCGTCCTGCCTCCCAAACCGGACGCTGAAGCCGGCGCGCCGCCTGCCAGACATCTGCAGCTCCTTGGCCATGACCAGCAGGCCGCGTGGGTGCGGAGCCCTCGGCCACCGGGAGGAGCCCCGTGGGAGGGGGACCCGGTGTCCGCCGGGCAGGGGGCCCCCGCTCATTTCGCCAGTGACGCCACGTGGCGTGGCCAGGGGCTCTTCTGGGCCCAGCAGAGGAAGGCAGGCGCCCAGCGGCAGGAGGAGCAGGCAGTAAGGGCTCACCATCTGGGCCGGAGGGAAGAGAGGAGCAGGTTAGCGGCTGTGCGCGTGGGCCTTGCCTGACAACCTGTCAGTACCTCCCGGGGCCCGGGCAGCCATCAAAGGCCGGTGGCTCCGCCGAGCCCAACTCACAAGCAGCTTGAGGAAGTGTCACCGTGCCGGGGGACCGGGCCTTGATTTTCTTAGCAGGCTCAGGAGCTCACCGCACCAATTAGGCTGAGTCTCCTCTCCCGTGGTCCCCTGCATCTGACACCTTGGCAGCTTAGCATTCGGGTAACCCCCCGCTGCTGGGACAGCTTATGGGGGTGGGGGGCCCGCAGCCCCCCTGAGTGCCGCACAAACTTGGGCTCAGTCTCCTTGTATTACAGTCATTGACTCTTGGCCCACGTCATCTCAGAGCCACAGGGTAGGGAACGAATAACATCAGTCTCTCTTCATTTTCAACTTGGTAATAAATGGGTCGAGCTAAGCTGCCGGGTAGCTCGGACACTCAGTGGCCCTTTAGCTCAGAAACGAATTGCTCCCGGAAGCTTGAACGGGTTTGGTGTTCGTGGCCTAACTTGGACATCCACCCGGGGAGGTGGACGTGGCTGGGTGGGCAATGATCCCTACAGCGCCTCCCCAACCCAACCCTCCCCCCACCGTCCACATGCCAGGCCTGGAGCTAACGCCCGTGAGCCCCGTCTGCGTGACCAACCACTGCAGGCAATCCTCACGGTAAGCGTGTTTTCAGACAAGACAGTCAGGAAGGCCAAGAGCCTGGGCCGCAGCTAGGAAGCAGAAGCCCTGAGATTCATGATTCTAATGGCCAGACAGCTTCTGGGTGCGCTGGGCACGTGGGCAGTGCTCTGTGTTCCTTTCCGTCCGGTACCACCCTCACCGCCCTCCCGCGAGAGGGTCTCACCCCCTTTGACGGAAGGGGCCGTGCTCAAACAGGTGACGTGCCCAAGACCTCACGGCTGTATAAAGTGACAGGGCCGGGATGCAAGCCCAGGTCTCACTAACTCAGAACTCAGTAACTTAGTCCATGGGGGGATTTGAAACAGAAATCGAGCTTCCCAAAATGCCCCTGCTTCGCCAGTAATTGCTCATTCCCTCCTAAAGGAAGCCTTCCTGGTAACGACCATAGTGAGTCGGAGCTGGCCGGTCCTCTGAGGAGAGCCGAGGCTGGAAGAAAGAGCTGGTTCTGGAGAAGAGGCACAGGCTCCCCGGAGCTCTTTCCAGAAATGGCTCCCTTGAAGACATTTCAAAGGGAACTCAGCCAGAAAGCTTTGAAAAAGTCATAAAAGCAGCCCTCCTCTCTACCCAGATCCAGCCCTCCTAACTTCCATCATCTTGTCCCCGGGAGCTGAAGCCAAGGCTCACCTCCATCAGGGCCCGGGCGGAGTGGGGGGCTCTCCACAAGCCAGGTGGCCTCTCCCCGCAGAGAGTGGCTGGGATCCCACCTGGGGCGGGGGAGGGGGGCGCCACTCTGCCTGGGGATGGCCTCTGGGTCTCCAGAAAGGGCACATCGATGCATAGAAGGAAGTGGCCCGTCTCCCCTTGGGGGAGGGGGGTCGTGGACCCCTTTGAGAACAATGGTGGGAGTTTGGGACACCCACGCCTGAAAATGGGCCCCAGCGCAAGTCGGGACTTCAGTCCTCGACATTGAGGACGTGGCAGGAAGCGCACCGGGTGGAGCTGGAGCCAGAGCCGGAGACTGTGCCCCAGGGCCGGGGCGGGGTGGGGGGGCAGCTGAGGTCAATCTCTGGGCTGTCAGAGGTCACCTCCTCCCTGCTCAGCTCCTGACCTGCAGGAGGGGTGTAGTGAGCAGGGCTCCCGCTAGGGATGGAGCGGCCATGTACTCACCGTGCTGGGGGCCCGCTCCCCGGGAGGGCTGAGGGCAGGGCGCCTCTGGGCTCTTGTCTGGGAGCTGTGGCTCCAGGCTTCTCCTGCTTTATATAGGGCCCCCCCCCCCCCTCGCCTCCGGGTGGACTTGCTGCCCTGCCGTCTGATTGCCGCACATTCCTGACCCTGGGATTCCATTGGGGACGCTGGTGGTGAAGGAGGGGGCTGTGCTGCCTGCCTCGATTAAGGACCCGACACAGACAGGATGTGGTCGGGTGGGAGGAGCAGAGGGGGCAGCAGCATTAGCTGGGATTCGCGGGCGCAGCCCCTCAAGTCCCTTGGAAGAGGGGTGAATGGCACACCCGCCCTGAATCCTAACGGTCCTGCCTTCGTCGGGTTGCCGCACTCCCTGGAGAAGCAGGGCGGCGGGGGAGGTGGGGGGTGTCCACGCCTCGCCCGCCCACGCCCGACCCGCGCCGCCACCCCCGTGGGCGCAGGAAGTCAGACACCGGTGAACCCGGCCACTGCCTCTTGCTCCCAGTCAGCTGGGAAGTCGTGCCAGGCGCCATTGTTCACCAGCCCTGGGCCTCCCGAGGGGCCGAGCGGGGCCGCGGGAGGGCTGCTTCTTGGAGGGGGCGTGTGGAAGGGGTTTGGACCCCCCTGCACCACAGTCGATTTGCTCCTTAGAAAGGAAACTTAGTGGGGGGCGCCTGAGCGGCACAGTCGGTTAAGCATCTAACTCTCGATCTCAGCCCAGGTCTTGACCTCAGGATCATGAGTTCAAGCCCCCCCTTCCCCAACCGTCGGGCCCCACGCTGGGTGTGGAGCCTACTTTAAAAAAGAAAAACCAAAGAGGAAGCTCGGTGTCTCCCACCGCCCCAGTGGCCAGCTCAGTGCCTGACACCCATTTGGGAAAGGACGGACGCAACAGCCAATGTTTCCAAAACTTGCTGGCTGTCCGCCGGGTGGCTGATGGTGCCTCGCTTGCTGAGCCTCAGCTGAGAGTGGCCATGGTGACGGGTCACGGAGGTGAGGCTGCTGGCCCCGTGGGGGACTTGGCAAGGGCGGGGGAGGGTCGCACAGCTGGTGCCCTCAGCGGATGGAGGACACGGCACCCATCGCTCCCCGGCCACCCGCTCCCTCATGGTTTCTCCCCCGGTGAGCTCAGAGGCCAGTGTGGGGGGCGTCCCGTGCCGGCGCCTGGGGGGCTGGGGGGCTGCGCCGCAGGCCGCGTGTTTCTGTAGGATCCTGCTGGTCTGGGCCTGGCCACTGGCTGGGCACCTCGCTCACAACTCAGGGTGCACACCCCACAGCTGTCACTCACACTGCCCGCCTGCGTGTGATCACAGAGCTACCCGGGTCTGCTCCAGGAGCGAGGGTCTCTGGGCTAAGCCAAGATGCGGTTCCCAGCTGGGCAGAGAGCGCTACAGAGTGCCTCCCGGGCCCTGGCCAGGGTGGGAGGAGGGCACCGTCACCGGGGAGCACCTACCTGTGGGCGCCAGCGCTCCGGCTGGTCCAGCAGCCCCCTTCCCCTGCCGCCTCTGGGCCCCTGTCCTGGTGACCAAGCACTGTGTCTGCGGCGCACCTGTGGGGACACCGGCAGGCGGTGTAGACAGCCCGGCCGGGCCCCCAGCCTCTACTCTCTCGGCCTAGAGTTTCCCTCCGCTCAGAGCGAGCAGGGCAGTGGGGGACTGAGGGGTGAGGCGAGGCTGCCCTGCCACTGTCTGGGGGGAGCCGCTCTGGCGAGGCTGGGGACCAAGCACAGAGGGGTTCCCCCAGTCTCCGGGGCCCTCACCCCGCTGACCTCTGTCACCTTTGCCTGTGGGTGCTGGGGGTGTGCAGAACCACCCCACCATTCAAGCGAGGAATAGAGGTGGCCTCGTGGACACTTCCTCGCCCCCATCAACCTGAGGAAGGGGCTAGAATACTGCTGCTCTGCAGGGGGAGAGGGAAACCGAGGCTCAGAGGGTCAGAGCCCTTGGCCGTGCGGGAGCAGCTTGCTCCCCATCCCCCACTCTTGCAGCCCGTCTGCAGCAGGCAGCCTTGCTCCCCCTTGGCCTCCTCTGGAGAGAACAGGGTCAAGGAAAGGCCGTGCGGATGGACTTGGGGCTTCTCCATGGGCAGGTGCAGGGAGCGGGTGCGGAGCGGCTTCTGTCCCCAAGGCGGGGTCTGCCCCGAGGTGCTGGTGTGTGCGTGGGAGACAGGAGGGACGGTGTCATTTTATGTCCCTACTTAGCGCTGGTTGGCTGTGACACTGGGTGCTCCTTAATGATGGGGTGCAGCCCGCGGTGGGTCAGTGGCATGCTGTTGAGGCCTTGGGCCAGATGCCTGCCTTCTCTGTGCCTCAGTTCCTTTGGGTGGAAAAAGAGAGATTTGGGCTCCCTAGCTGTGTTCTGTGAAATGTCTCAGGGACAGCTGGGCGGGGGGGGAGGGGGGTAAGAAGAGCAGGGGTGGGGTCAAACCCTGAGGGCCACCCTGTTCCCCCCCGGAGAAAAGCTCCACTTGGCTGTTAGGCAGGCCGAGCTCCAAGAAGAGGTTCTACTGTGAGGCCCCCCACGGACCCCTGTCCCTTCAGGGCGGGCGCCCGCGGCTCCGGGAAAAGGACACAGGAAGTCCCCAGTGTTGCGGCTTGGGGTGGACGCGAGGGTGGGGGTGAGGAGGAGGAGGTCCCCGTGTGGCCCACAGATTCCTCAGCCCTGACCCGCCCTGTCCGCAGGTAGTCGAGCCCGGAGTCAAGTCTGACATTGGATTTGGTGCCAGACGCCCCAGTTCCCGGGTCTGGCCAGGTGCCCCTCCCCCCCCGGAACAGCGGGCCCAAAAGAGCTCTTCCTGGGCTCCTTCCAGGGAATGAGCAGTGGGAGAGGGAAAAACCTCTGGGCCTCCCGGGCAGCGGATGGACAGACCCTGGGCCGTGGGAAGGTTATGGACAGACCTTGGGCCATGGGAAGGTCATGAACAGGCCCTGGGCTGTGGGAAGGTCGTGGGCGGGCCCTGAGCCATGGGAAGGTCATGGACAGACCCTGGGCCGTTGGAAGGTCGTGGGTGGGCCCTGGGCCGTGGGAAGGTCTTGGTTTGTCCCTGTGCCTTGGGAAGGTCATGGACTGTCCCTGTGCCTTGGGAAGGTCATGGACGGTCCCTGTGCCGTGGGAAGGTCATGGACGGGCCCTGAGCCTTGGGAAGGTCATGGACGGGTCCTGAGCTGTGGGAAGGTCATGGACGGGCCAGGCTGTGTCCATCAGAGAACAGCAAGATCCATTCAGCTTCCTGAAACAAGCTTTTCTCAGAGTTGGGGTAAAAAATGGTGAAGGGGTTTCAGGGGACCCTGCTTGCTTACGCCTGGAGTGAGATTCCCTGAGAAACCTCCCTAGACCGTCAGGGCCAAGTCCCCGGATGTCCAAGCTGACAGCAGCCTCCGTTCCTCAGGACACCCTGGCCCTCACTTGTCTGCAGACGGCTATGACCTTGCAAGAGTGGGACGTGTTGGGGGTGACAGCCTGGCTGTGTTAAGCCCGGGCCCCTCCTCCCTTACCACCTTTTAGGCACACGTCCCCAGAACTGGCCTCCACCTCCGCTCAGCCCCGCACCAGCTGTGGTCTTGGGCCAGCTACTTCCTGAGCCTGTTTCCCCGCCGCCTGGGGACACCAGGTCCCCACATCTTGGGGGGGGGGGCAGGTGTTGTGAGCTCTTGTGTAAGAGATCAGGTGGGGCTGGTGCAATACTCGATCGGTGCTGGCAGCCCAGAAGGCGCCCTCTTCATAGGCATGGGCCTCCAGGGGTCTTTCGTTTCTTGCCGGAGCTCCCGGTGGTGCTGGCTGAACCCCCTGCCTCACCATCCAACCCCCACCCCCGCCCATAGTAGACACTCTTTGTGTCTAAAACGGAAGTACCATCATCCGTCTGGAACAACCCCCGTGTGACTGAGTTCACAGGATCTTTCCCACTCATCCCATGAGCTGAGGCAGAGCAGCTTCCTGCCAAGCGCCCTCCGCCCGCCCCCTCATGGGGAAGGATTGGTGGCCAAGTTCGGGGCAGGTGCGGCCTGTGGGGAGGCACATAGCCAGGGGTCCCTGTGGGCCCGATGCAGAGCAGGCGGGACTGCGTGCCGATGGCCGGGGACACTTTATGGAGGGGGGTAGCGTTCTGTGAACGTTCTGGAAACCTCCAGCCACTGGGACAGAAACCTTTGTGCCCCGTGTGACCCAGTGGGCAGACACCCTCGAGCTGCCCCCCCCAGGGGACCTCGGGTGGGGCCCCTGCACATCTGGGCTCTGGTCCTGCACCGGGTCTCTGATGTGGGCCTGAGGTGGATGTTGAATTTCATTAAATCAGCTCAGAAGGTGGTTTTGTCCTCAAGCTTCACATGGGTTTTATGAATAAATAGCCATCAGGGGCTGTTGTTTTTAATAAAGTCTCAGCTCCTCAGGACTCCAGGCCCGATCACAGGAGAGACCCGAAAGGGGACCGTGGCGGGGGGCATGGCGGGTCCCCTGATGCCTGACCCCGAGAGGATCCCCCCACGGGGAGGCGGCCCGGCTGCCGGCCGGTGTGCAGCTGGTTCCGCTAAAGGATCTGGTGCAGCCCCGGGGGGGCACAGAGCTACCTGGGAAACACTATTTCTTCGATAGAAATAAAGCCGGCGAGGGCGTCTGGGGCTACCAGGCAGGAGGCGGCCTTGGAAGTCCCCGCGGCCTGACGCGGAGCACCGAGCAAGGTGAGAGGCAGAGGCCCCAGCCGGGTCAGCACAAGACTTTATTAGAGACAGGGGACACACAGGACGCCAAGTGTACGCAGCCCAGACCGGCTTCTGTCCCGCACCTCGCTCTGTCCGTCGGCGGCCGTGCCGGCCCTCCAGCGCCTCCGCGTGCGCATCCCGCCAGCCTGGTGTGGACAGTCGGGCACCCCCACCCATCCAGTGCCCACCCCCATGTCCAACCTCAGCCCTCTGGGTCTGCTGACTCCCGCCAACTGCCTGGCCCCCTTGGCGTCTGGGGATAGCTGTCTCCCTGCAGGCAGGTGAAGACACCGGTCCCGGGGAGACCCCCCTCCCCAACCTGGACCAAAGCCTGGCGTCCTTTGTTCTAAGTTGAGCCCGTCTCCTGCGGGCATGTGGGTCCTCAAACCGCACAGGACAGAGATGGGTGGCTGGCCACAGGCGTAGCTGAAGCCCCCCAGTCCATCGTGATGCGTGCCAGGTCCCGTCGACCGATGCTCCAAATCCTGGGTGATGGGGCTCTGGCCCCAGACCGGCCGGAGGCCCATGTGACTGAGGGTGGCTGGGGGGGTGGGAGTGGGGGGGCAGGAAGAGGCAGGCCTGTGATAATTGCTTCCACCCCAAGACAAAGATTACTAAACCCACTTGCACGCAGCCACAGGGGGACAATGCAATGTGGGATCTACTCCCAGTGCTGTCCCTTATCTCCGGGTGGCGCTGAAGCCATCGGGGTGAAAGCCCAGGGACCATCTGTCCTCTGCATGCAGCAAGCACATGTGGCCCACCACGTGGCCTCTGTTTTAACTCTCAGAGACGCGTCCAATCCAAAGTTTGGGGGCCGTAGAATGAGGGAGGCCACTGGCTCATTGCACCAACCCTACCTGCACTGGTGGAGAGAACCTTCAGCAGCTTCTCAACCCACGTGCGCTGCCCCCCGAGATCCCCATGTAGAGGCCCCCCTCCTCTGCTTGGCTCGCTCCCTTCATCCGTGGAAGAAGGAAAGGGAGGGAGGGTTTGGTTAGGTCACAGGCCCCCACCGTCAAACCATCAACTCAGGCACCGGAGACAGAGTCCAGGTGCAATGAGCCTGGGTCCCAGGCAGGCCTTTGGCACACATCTGTCACCCCTCCGTCCCTGGTGGAGCTGCCTCTTGCCGCTGACCCTCCTGGCAGCCCCTTCCTTCATGTGACGGCCATCCACGCTGACCTCACACCGCGGGCTCCTGGAGGCCGCGGCCAGCGCCCGCCTTGCTCAGCACAGCCTCCTGGCCAGCGCGGGCGCGCAGGGGCCATCTGTGCCCCGCACCAGCCTTCAAAGGGTGCCCTTTAGGAAAGGGGGGGTGCGCCGGCCTCAGGGGTCCACACCGTGATGGCTCAGTGCCCGTTCAGCCAGTGTTTGGGGCGGCCGTGTTCCACCGTGGTGCCCGTCCGGGGCCGGCGCTTTCAGGTGGGCAGGAGCGGGTGTCCGCGGGTGGGCCGGATGCCCCCGGAGGCCGCCCGCGCCATCCCCACACCAGGCCGGAGCCGCTCACGCGTCTGTTCCGCAGCCAAACCCTGGCAGGAGTGTTCCCGAGCTTCCTGACGCGCACACGGACGTCTGCGAATCCATTAACATCACACTCACCAGGAGTTTGTTTGATGACAGATCAGAAAGCGGCCGACACTTTCCAAACAGCGGCTGGCGCTGCAAGGCTGGCGGCAGAAGCCGGTTCTCGCCTGGGGCTGCTGGGGGAGAAGGGGGCTCCCCGGGATGGGGGCTTGGGGTCCCACCCAGAGTCTGCACTGTGGCCGCGGGTCCTGGCGGCTCGGGGTGGGGGGGTGGGGCGCTGGCTCTCTTCTAGAGGACGGGAAAGGGGACTGGCAGGGGACAGACCCCTCCCCGCATCTCCCCCACCCCACACGGCTCCCCGGCCCTGGCCACACTGCCGCCGCCTGTTTCATGGCCGTGTTCATGTCAAGCTGAGTGCCGACAGGGCAGGGGTGCGGTGTTGTCCAGCACCCGGGCAGATGGCCAGGGAAACTCTGCTGAAGGCCATGGCCAGGTGCAGCTCCAGGGGACCGCCAGGTTGCACGGCGGGTCCATGGCGCATTAGGGTGGCTAAAGCCTACGCTCCCTTACGTGGCTGCCTTCATCTGCCTTCCGGGGTTCTCCAAGGACACACCCCCTCCCTCCTGGCTGCCCACCCTCCGGGCAGCCCCCCAGGCTGACCTCCCGGCCCTCTCAAAGTTTCCCCCCCCACACCGAATCCCCACAGGTAGGAACCTAGCAAAACAGCCTTGTGCTTGGTTCAGAGGGCAAGGGCATCACGGGTCCCAGCTCTGTTGATATCGGGTCAAGGGCTGCTCGTCTTGGCGAGTTCTCATGGGGGGGCGGGAGGGGTAGAATAATAGTACGGTGGGCAGCGGGAGGATTCAATGAAAGATTGTGTCCAGTGTCCGGTGGTGCCTCAGTCTCCCCCATTTGCCCCGCGAGTTCCTCCCTGAGGGAGGCGGCAGTGCCCACAGTCACCAGCAGGGGGCAGCCTCCCCACTGAGACTGCAGTCTCTGGGCTGATGGGCTAACAGCCACCCACCCGCTCCTGGCCCACCCTCCACCATGCAGGCCTGATGCCAGGAGGCCCTAGGATCCTGGAGTCCCTGGGGCTGGTGGGGGCTGGTGCACCCCCAGGGCATGAAGCCCAGAACATGAAGACGTCCCCACTGCCCAGGCCCAGAGGCTGCAGGACCCGCCCCAGCCTCCCCCAGGGAAGAGGACAGGGTGGGGGCGGGGCGCCGCTGCCCCAGGAAGGCGGGAGGCTGCAGCAGCCCAAGGGACCCCCCGGGCCTGCAGGAACACAGAGGTGGACGGGGCGGCGGCGGGAGCTCCAGGGAAGCGGCCCTGGCCGCCGTCCCACGGGCAGCTGCGCCCCAGCCTGGCCTGGGGGAGTGGTGGCGAATGGCTGTCCAGCTTTCGTCTAGTCCTTGGGGGAGAGGGGGATCCTCAGGCACCTGGAAGTGAAGGAGGGGGGCCAGGAGGGCCAGGGGACGCTGGCCTCAGCCCTGAGTCGGAAAGATCCCGACCTTCCCTCTGTCTCCTGAAAAGGCTGCCGGGGGAACGCCTGGCCCTTCTCTGTGGCCCCTTCACGCTGGGTGTTTGGACAAGCAAAGTGGAGGGTCCGCAGGGGTGCTTGGCGGACTGCGGGCCACGGGAAGTCAAGACACTTAACCCGGGAGCCGAAGCCTGGGCACGCAGAATTTGGGGCTGTCAAGCCTGCCCCGCCCCACATCAGCAGAGGTAAACTGAGGGGTGGGGACAGCGTGACGGTGACGTGCAACCCACCCCAACGCGAGGGCACGGCAGCCGCTTGCGCTTGCGGGCAGGTGGGCGTCGGGGGGGATGCAGGGTGGCACTGGGCATGGGGACACCGGGGGCGAGGGCGAGGGGATGGGCGGGGATGGGGCGGTGGGCGGAGGGAGTGCCCGGCTAGCGGTCCTCTCGGACCGGCCGGATCTTCATCTCGGAGAACTTGAGGGAGTACTGCCAGCCCGTCCAGGACGACCACTCGATGCCGTCGGCGTAGGAGGCGTGCGCGCCACGCAGGTACTGCCCGTTCAGGTTGGACGTGTGGCAGTTGCGGTACCACCAGGCGCCGCGGTAGAAGGCAGCGCAGTTGTTCTCGGAGTGGTCGCTGTCGCGGTCCTTGGTGGTGAACCTCATCCCGCTGTGCTTCAGGAGGGAGTCCCCTGCGCGGGCGCAGACACAGGCCGGCGCGTCCTCACGGGGACTCCCCTGGACACGCGCGTGCATACACACGTACGCGCTGCCCCACGTGGACACGCGCTGTGCACGCACATCTTCCCCAGCACCCCCACCGCGTCCGTGCAGCGCACGTGCACCCACGGCGCCGCCTGGGGGGTCCCCGGGCTGTCCCTGGGTTCTGCCTGTCTCTGTCCCTTCTCCCAGCTTTTCCACGCTCCCTCTCCTTGCTTTCCTGCCTTTGGGGAAGAAGAGAACCCCAGCCCAGAGCCGTGCAGCCCCCCGCACTTCAGAGGTCCAGCAGAACACAGCCCCGGGAGCCCTGATGCCTGGCGCGGGGCTCACTGGGCTCATCTGCAAAACGGTTGAACGATTTGGATCCCGGTGCTTTGTGTTGCTGGGATGGGGGCCAGGCGGGGCTTCAAGGTGGAGGTCAGGAGCAGAGGCCTGGGGCTTCTTTGACCTCCTGAGTGCGGAGACTGGTGGGCGGCCCCTCCCCCACACCCGCCCTCCCTCTCCCTGCCGCGTCCCGCTTCCCACCTGCAGTGCCTGAGTAGTCGGCCACAGTGAGCGGGTACCCGTCTTCCTCGGGGTCCACGGAGAACAAGCCCACGCCGAAGCTCCCGTAGCGGGCGTAGGCTGTGCCGTTCTCGAAGTCCTCCAGGTCCACGAGGAGCTCATAGGCAGCCTGCGTGGTCAGGGCGTGGATCCTCCTGAGCCCTGGAGTCGGGGACAGAATGGCAGCCGTGGCCAGGGGAGGGGACTGAGGAGACTCGGGAGCCCGGGGTCACGTGGCTAGTGCCAGCCTGTGTGGCAGAAACCGAGGGCTGGCCGTTGCTCATGTTCGGTTTTCTCTCTCCGCTTTAATCGGGCTCTGCTTTTCCAAACATTTGAGTGGACGGTTAGTAGAAAGACTGTAGGTTGCAGAAGGAAACCTGGACAATCTGGATCGGGGGGCGGTGACGACACCCCTTATCCTCTCTCCTGCTCAGGGCTGGGGCCGGAAGGGATCTGGGACTTGTAGACACTTCCTTGTGCCTCTGAGACTTTGCACATGCTGTTCCCTGTTTCCAGGACACTTTTCCCTACTCCCCCACCTTAGGCTCGGGTCGTTTTCAGGCCACGCTTCAGGAAGGCTGCCTGGCCTCCTATCTGGGTCGAGGACCTCTGCCAACCCAGCTGCTCCCCGCCCCCTCCCCCCCCCCCCCACCAGCGTGTATCATTCTGTGTCTGAACTGCCTATTTCCTGGTCTGCCTGTCCCCACCGTGGAAACGCCATGAGAGCAGCAGACTGTCCTGTTCACGCTGAATCCAACCAGGGGGGGTGCTCAATAAATGCTGGCTTAGTGGATGAGCAACAGGAGGAGGGGCTTGGCCCTGTACCTGCCCCCACACCCCCTCGCCCTCCCTCCCTCCCACACACTCACATTCACGGTGCTTCCCTGCCAGTTTGATTACCTCTTGATTAAGAGGGTATTTAATTAAAATCACAAGTTATCAGCATCGAGTGACATTTCATCAGCCTCTCCCTCCTGAGCTCCAGACCCATCATCGGTGGGGTCGGGGGGGGGTGCCAGCTAACGGGGTGAGAAGACCGTGCAGACCCTTCCCCAGCCGGGCCGGAGGGAAGCCTGGGTCCCGCGGTCTAGATCGGGGGCACGGGAGAGGCCGCTGCGAAGAGTCACAGTGGCCGCGGCAGACCCCGCCTGTCCCATGCTCCCAGGACCTGGCCAGGACCGGGCTCCGGGAGCGGAAGGGTCGCATCTGCCTGCCTCTCTCTGCTCCGCTGCTCCCTGGGCTGGGGCTTCAGAGCGAGCCGCTCTCCCTCTCTCGGGGCCACAGCTTGTCCACCTGCGGAGTGGGCCTCACGGGGCTGAGATGAAGCCCAGGACGGTCCCCCAAGCTCTAAGGGCAGCGACGGCAACAGCCACCAGCCGGACGGCACTCGCAGATGCCGGGCACTGTTCCGAGCACTTCTCGGGCGTTAATGAACCCAGTGGAATTTAGAATGAGTCCAATTAAATTAAAGAATCCCTGTACAGCTCTTAGAGCGGCGCCTGGCCCGCTGCACACATTATCCAGGTGCCTGCTGCTGCCATTGTCGTTATCAACGAGGCAGGGGCTTTAGTCTCCTTGTTTATAGGTGAGGGAAGTGAGGCACAGAGAGGTTAAGTTATGGGCCCAGGTCACACAGCTGGTAAGCGGCAGAGCTGGGATTTGAACCCGGGCAGAGTGGCCCAGACTCCTTGCTCTTACCCAGTTCTTGTCCAAGACCAGTAATCGGATCCAGGGACGGGGCAGGGGCGCTGGAGAATCCCTTTCCCTATCACTGAGTGGTCGCTGGTGCCCAAAGGCCCACCATTTCTCTGGGCTAAGCTGGACGTGCTGTCCGAGTGCCCATGAGGGGCCCCTGGGGGGTGCCCTGGAGGATGGGGGGGGCAGGGTTCCTCTGAGTCTTCAGCCTTCTCCCCGTGAGAGGCACCCCCCTCGCTTGCTCTTCTCTCTCTTCACTGTCTGTCTTTCTGCAGCCCCTGCAGAAATCCCGACGAGCCCCTCGCCTCGCCGCTTTCCTGGGCCCCTGGATGGTCAGCTGAGCCCCGACCCCCAGCACCATCAAAGTTAGATGAAGAGGCAGCTGGTGGGTTAAAACAGAGAGGAAAAATTCTTAGTCCTCCAAACGCACACCGTCACCCCAGACAAACTCCCAGATCGATCACAGACCCGCACTTAATACGAACACTAAAAAAAAATTTTTTTTTTTTTAAATAGGAGGCATTTTTATAAAACCGGGAGGGGAAAGCAGGGCCTAAAACCCAGAGGATGTGAAGGAAAAAAAAAAAAATGGCAAGAATTGGCTCCATAAAAACTTAACACACCTAGGAAATAAACAATAATTTAGCAACAAAAAAAGAAGCCCAAAGACAAGGAAGTAAATATGTATCATGTGTATCTGACAAAGAATCAATAACCTTAATATATAAAGAGCTCCCATAACTCAATAGGAAAAGACAAAGCACTGGATGGGAAGGTGACAGGGGAGCGTGGAAAAGCAGAGAGAGGGCAGGGCCAGGGCGGTGGAGGGCTGCGTTGACATTCTTCTCAGGGCTCCCTGGCTGCCGGGAGCTAATCACGGCCCCGCTTAAATGCTTCCTCCCAAAGCTTCGGTGGCTGCTGATAGATTTCAATTAAGATGCCGTGAGTGGCAGAGTCACCAACGCTGCTCCGAGGGGGTGGGTGGTGATGCGGAAACAGCCCCCCCAGCCTCTCCCCACCTTTACACGCCCACTCGGGGGCGGGGTGGGGGGGCAGGGGAAGGGTCTCCCACCTTAAAGCTCCTCTCCCCTGACCCCTATCCTGCCTCTGCTCTTGTTCACTCGGTTCAGGGTGTACTTGAAAGCTTGGGAATCCTGCCCAGGCCTTCTCCACCCCTGCACACACACACACACACACACACACACACACACACACACACCACTCTTTCTGGGCCTCAGTTTCCTCACCCATAAAAGGGAAGGACCACAGTGCCACTGTGAGGGTGGCCGTGAGGGGTCAGGGCTGAACTATGTAAGGTGGGCTGGGCATACAGGAGGTGCCCACTAAGTAGAGACCTTGGCAATGAAGTCCACATTGGCCTCTCCTGCAGCCGGCCCCTTCCTGGTAACAGGGACACAGTGCAGGTCAGGACAGAGAGGGTCCTGGCCTTGTGGATCACAGGGTCACGGAGGGGGAGGCGGACATTAGGCAACTGACAGCGTAGATCACCAGCTGGGTGCCTCTGGGCAGGTCGTGAGTGGGCACATCGGACTTGCCCACCTCTGGGGTCCACCCTCTCCTTCGCCCAGAAGGTCCCCTGAAAGCTCTACGGGGCTGGGACCTTCCTGACGGCCACCGGCAGCCCAGCCACATGCCCCCTGCCTCTGTTCTCCCCTCCTCTCCCTCCTGGCCGGCTGCCCCAGCCCTGCCAGAGGGGGGCGCCCTCAGACATCCATGCCTGTGGCAGCCAAAGTGGGGCCAGTGAGCCCTGGGGTGTCTGAGGCCGTTCAAACACGGCGTGTCATTCCTGTGCTCTGTTTATTTTCTTTTTTAAAGTGTATGTATTTAAGTCGTCTCTACAGCCATCGTGGGGCTCGAACTCATGATCCCGAGATCAAGAGTTGCACACTCCTCCGACTAAGCCAGCCAGGTGTCTCGATCTTAATATGTATTAAGAATAGGGGCGCCTGGGTGGCTTAGTCGGTTAAGCGTCCGACTTTCGCTTGGGTCATGACCTTGCAGTTCGTGCGTTCGAGCCCCGTGTCGGGCTCTGTGCTGACTGCCAACTCGGAGCCTGGAGCCTGTTTCAGTCTGTGACTCCCTCTCTCTCTGACCCTCCCCTGCTCACGCTGTCTCTCTCTCTCTCCTAGAAATAAATAAAACATTAAAAAATATATATATATATAAATGGGGGTGAGTGCTAATGGGGGCATAGGGCTCCCTGAGCTTTCTAGGGCAGAGAAAACATTCTGGAATTAGGGGGGAGAGTTGCACAAATCTGTGAATATACTAACCCCCCCTGAATTGTGCACTTTAAGACGGTGAATTATATATATATATATATATAAAAACCATAGGTGCCTGGGTGGCTTAGTCAGTCAGTGAGTGTCTAACTCTTGATTTCAACTCATGTCATAATCCCAGAGGTTGTGGGATCGAGCCCTGCACTGGGCTCCACACTGAGCATGGAGCCTGCTTGGGATTCTCTCCCTCTCCCGCTTCCCCTCCCCTCTACTCACACTCCCTCTGTGTCTCAACTAATAATAAAACCTTCACCTCAAGGCCCAGCTCCCTCCCCAATATATATAAGACCTCAGACCTGTGATTTTTATGGATGTAATGCTTCAGAATGCCATTATGTAAGATGTCAAAATTTTTTAAATGCTCAGTGAGTTTAAAGATAAATCCGAAGTACCTGGATGTGATATGGATACAAGCCTTTTGAGCCCTTGCTCTGCCCCGCTCGGACTGTGGGCCAACGATCGGAAACGTGCCTTGTGCCCTGGGGCCTCAGGACCCGCGGCCTTTCTTTTGGGAGTCACAGCTGCGGTGCCCCAAGCGCGCATCTGGTGTTTGCTGACCCCCGCGGGCGGGGGGGGGCAGGGCAGTTTGGGGGTTGTTCTGGCCCTCCCTGTACCAGAACCCTAGCCCCGGCCCTGCCCCCACGTCACCAGATCCAGGATGGCCGCCAGCCCAACTGGAAACGCGCGCACCCCTCCAAGGCCCCCCCGCACCGCACCCCGTCTTCCTTTGGTCTCCTGCTCACTGACCTCATTCACGCCGAACGCACAGAACACCTTTCCCGGCAGCCCCTGGATGCTGGCCCGGGTGTGTGTGGAGCCCTGGAGACCCTGACCTCCCGCCACCCCGGGAGGGCGCGTCCCCTGGGGCCAGGGAGCGCGGACGGCAGGCCCTGGGCAGACAGGCTCCCGGCCCTCACCTAGCCAGTGCTCCCCCGTGAGCTTGCCGAAGCCGTCCCGGTACGCTTCCCAGCCTCGGAAGAAGTTCACGGAGCCGTCCTCCCGGCGCTGAAACACCTGCAAAGGATGGAGAGCTGACGCCAACCGCCCAGGATGCCCTGCCCGACGTGTGTCCCCGTCACCTGCCTGCTTCGGGAGGGCAGGGCCTGGGCTTCCCCAGCCCTTGCCGCTCCCGGCATGGAGCCCGCGTGGTGGCCCGAGGTGGGACAGACTAAATTATGCCCCCCTCCACTTCCCCACAACGTCCCCTCCGGAAGGAATCATGCTGGGCTTGGGTGCAGAAAACCTGGCTTCCAGGCCCATCCCTACTGCCTTGCTGGGAGACCCTGGACTGGCCCCATCCCGGCCCGGGCCTCAGTTTCCCCACTGGTCAAAACAGAGGAGTGAGCAAGGGTCCTAATATCTCTCCCCAGGCCAAAAGAAAACCGAGCAAGAAATCCGTTCTGGAGTGTTTAACAACCGAGAACACACACACACGCCCGGAAGAAGCCTCCAGAGCTCGGTCTCTCAAAATGATTTTGCCAGAGTCACGCACACCAGAATAAGTTCCCCAGAATAAGAAGGCCGGGCCAGGGACCAGCGGGCGGCTTGGGGAAACAGATACGGGGGTGGGGAGGTGGGGACAGGAATCCACGGCCCACAGGGGTGTGACTCGGGCACCAACGAGCAGCCGAGCTGCCTCTGTTCTTCATTTTAATAACCTTCTTGATTTGGGAGTCAGGAATCCCATCGGTTAAATTGCTTTGAAATAAGTACCATGCAGGTCCTGGCCGGGGAGCTGCCTCGAGTATTTACAGGATCCGCTGACAAGCGTGTTCCTGGCAGCCCCGCCCCCACTTCCAACTCTTTCTGTGGAACAAGCCTTTTTCTTGTTCATTTGCCGAGGCAGCACCCGACCCCCCCCTCCGCCCCCCTCCACGCGTCCCCCCCTCCATCTGTACCGCGCGTGTGAGGTGTTAGAGATTTGGCTCTGGCACCAGCAGGCTGCCGGATTCATTACTAAGCAGCCTGATTTCGGTCGCCCGGAACTGCCCGGGCGCATCATGTGCCGTGAGCTTGGCCGCACACTCTGCCTCTGCCCGTGGGGACCCGTCAGTCACAGCATTTGGGCAGCTCTGACGTCAGGGAGTCCACCGCCTCAAACCTGGCCCGGCCCTGACAGGTGCAAGGGCGTAGAAGGGCCTGGCTGGGGAAGGAAATTCGATCAGGCTCAGAGAGATCTGAGCGGCGGTGGGCAGCGGGTATTGACGGCCGGATTGGGACCCTGAGCACGTGCCCTTTGAAAGGCTTAATCCTGGCAGAAGCTCAGACGCTCCCCGGAGAAGTCTCCAGAAGGCAGAAGGCAGAGGGGAGGCTGTTTCTGCAGAAGGAGGAGGGAGTCAGGAGCCGGGGAGAGGGGTGGCCGGGTGCAGGGGGGGGGATGGTTGGGATTGGGCCCCACCACTCAGAGCGCTGGCCATCACTGCACCTCCCTGAGCCTCGGCTTCCTTCTCCATAAATGGGGGTCACAGCAGCACCTCCCCCGTGGGCTGTGGCAGTCGCTGAGCATGCGCTCGGGCCTGGCGTTCAGTGCACACGGGCTGCAGGGGGATGGCCGCGTGGAGACCCAGGCCTGGCTGCAAGTCCTCCCTCTGCTCCTCCTCCACAGCCCCCCCTCCTCCGCCGCCAGGAATGCCCTGCTCTTCCCTCCAGACTTGTACCCTCCCCTCATCCTTGCTGAGCCATTGGCAGCCTGCCCCCAAGCCTCCCTCATCCATTCACAGGTTCCACTGCGCCTCTCCCGTAGGGCGGGGGACACAGGGGACCCCCCCAGCCATGCAGGAAGCAGGATTGATCTAAGAGTGTGGGGGCAGGGGAGGGGTATGTGTAGCAGGGCTGGCTTCTGGGAGGGAGTCCACAATGGGCCTGGAGGAAGGTCAGGGTCTCCAAGTCTGACCGCGAGGCCTGAGGACATCACCCCTCCCCTCTGGGCCGTGTTCTCCTCCCCCCAAGCCCTGCCTCCTAGGGCCCCACGGAGGAAAAAATAGGAGAGCACCAGTACTATTATTTGCCGTCGTTATTTTTCCCTGGTACCACTCTTCCGGGGAAGCCGGGCATCTAGGCACGGGCAGGGGGTAAGCCCTGGGACCTGAGACGGCCGGGCAGAGCACCCACCGTGAGCTGGTGTTGAGAGCCGGTCGCAGCAGGTGCTGGGGTTGAGTCCTCCCTGAGCACATGCATCATTTACAGAATCCTGCCCCCCACACCCCTCATCCTTATGGCAGACGGAAGCTCAGGTGGGGGCCAGAAGTCAGGCGGCTATGGGCACGGAGCGGGCTGTCCCGCACCCCCAGCCTAATGCCAGGCTGGTCACCCGCGGGCCAATGTCCTACCACGCACGTCACTTTTATCTGCCGCTGCCCAGTACTGGGGCGTGCCTCCTCGTCTCCCTCCCTCCAAACCCTGTTCTCAGCCCCTTTCCCCCCTGCCAGTAACAGGCGGGAGCCTACTGGGCTCCACCCGGCTGCACGATCCGTGGGTGACGTGTGATCAGGGGCCGCCTGGGCCTCCCTGCCTTTCTCTCCGCCCCGGGGACGCTGGGCTGCAGTCAACCAAGTGTGGCAGGCACCCCCGACGGGCAGTTTGAGTCTGCACCAGAAGCCACAGCAATTGTGTGCCAACGTGAGCACTTTAACCTGAGGGTGATGAATCCCCATCCTTGAAGGGCCCACACACGTCCATGAGGGGGGTTCACAGAAGTGGCGTTCAGACTTCAGACCACGACCCCGGACGATGCAGCTTACGTGACGACGGGCACACTCACGGGTGTTCACAGCAGAAACCAGATCTTCCTGGAATGGAGTTGCCCCTAGGAAGATGGATGAGCTCTAATATTTTCTCCCCTGTTCTAATCGACTACAGTCTATTTGATTTAAAAAGTAGTATTGATCGCAAACCATTCAGTTGATTTCACCGCCTGCCAAGAGATCACGGCCCGCAGTTTGAGAAGCGCGGCTCTGGATGCTGCCGGCCTTGGCCACGGGCTGTCCTTACCCCTGGGCTCAAACACTGAGTGTCAGAGCGTGCCCGGCACCGGCCGGGATCTCAGACTCGGCACCCTGGCCTCACTGTCAAGCCGACAGCGCAGAGTTGCCTGCGAGTTCCAAGAGTGTGTGAGGCCACAGGCTGCAGATTCTCCAAACTTCCCAGGAGTTTGCTTTCTCCAACTCAGAGGCCCAGGCTGAGCTGCAGCCAGACTTCGGGGACCCTGGATGGACACATGGCACCAAGCAGAAGGCCTTGGATTACAGACCAAGGATCAGCCAGCCAGGAGGACGCGAAGAGGGAGGGTGTAAAAGATGGACGTACCCACTTGCATCCATAGGATGTGAGTTACCACCCCCTCCCCCTGAAAAGTGGGAAAAGGTAGGAAAACAAAATAATTCGAAGGCTAAAATCTTCACTGGCCCGGCTCCCGGGGTGTCTCCCTTGGGTTGCAGCCGCAAAGGGACCGATGTTGGGATGCTCGCGGCCGCTCGGCCCCCCCCCGGCAGGTGACACTTAGGAAGACAGACAGCGCGTGTTTTCCTGATTCCCAGGAGCCAGTGCCTGACGCCCGGCCTGTCTTCCAAGTGCCGCTTGGGGGCTCTGCCAGCGGAGGGCTGGGCCCACGTGGTCTTGCAGATGGTGACAGGCTGTTCCAAAGGAAGGAGCCGCTGCGTATGGGGTGGTGGCGGGGGTGGGGGGGCAGAGTGGCCGACTGTCCCACGTTTGTCCCGTCTCCGCTGGGGCCCCTTCTTCAGATGGGCTCCTTCGTCCTAGGCGCCCGAGCCTGGCTCCATGGTCTCCCCAGCACTGGCCGCTGTCCTCACGGCCGGTCACAGCCGTCCCCACCTCAGCCGGGGATGGTGGGGGGTGACCTCTGCAGAGTGGGGGCTCCTCAAGGCCGAGGGGGACCCGCCCGGCGTGGCTAAGCTGGGCCAGCCCCAGCACGCGCCCTGCGCTGGCATCCAGGAAACCGAGTTCCACTTCAGTCTTGGCTTCTCTGTGCTGCAAAATGAGTGCAGCCCCGGGGCCCCGTGCGCAGTACGGCCGGGCTCACGGGCTGGCTTGGGCCTTCGGAGAGCTCGCAGTCTCAGGAAAGGTGGACGCGCACACTGGCCATCCCGGGGCATGGCAGCCCCCAACCTGGCACGCCCCTGCCATCCCTGTGCCTCGGTTTCCTGATCTGTGAAACGGGCGTTACAGCAGCCCCTCCCCATGGAGATTTGATCAAGGCCCCATGTGCAGGTTGAGACACATTGGTCCATAATGGTAACAGCTGTCGTTACACTTGCTGGGGGCTCAGACAAGGTTAGGCATCTGCTGGGGTGGGCTCCAGGAGGGCTTCCCGGAGTAGGAGGTGCTCAGCTGAACTGCATATTGAGCAGGGTCTTGGCAGGTGGTCAGAGAGACCTAGGGATGGGGGCTGGGTGGGTCCACACCCTATGAGATGGGGAGGGGGGGTCTCTGCCACCTTAGAAGGGTCCCCAGGGGTCACATCTGGGATTTTCCCTGGACTCTGATGAGCCTGCCACAGAAGTCATTTTAGGGGGCGCCTGGGGGGCTCAGTGGGTTGAGCATCGACTTTGGCTTAGGTCATGATCTCACAGTTCATGGGTTCGAGCCCCGCATCAGGCCCTGCTGTCAGCCTAGAGCCTGCTTCAGATCCTCTTTCCCCTCTCCTCTCAAAAATAAAAGTAAATATTTAAAAATTAAAGAAAAAAGAAGAAATCAGTTACAGGCAGGATCTTGTCCTGGGGTCCCCAGCACTGGCCGCTGGGGTCCCCTAGCCTCCCGGACCGCCTGACAGGTGATTCTGGGGGGAGGCGTGGGGGGGGCCTGTGGCCCAGGTGGGTTCCTGTTTCTAAGGAACAAAGAACTCGGATGTGCAATGTGGGCCCTTCAAAGGCAGCCGCAGGGGAGGCTCTGCCGGCTCTTGGCGGGGCGGGGAGGCACCTCTGGGCAGTGGCCCCAGGTGCTCCCTGGGCTTGCCGGCAAGGGCACAGCTACAGAAGGCTGAGCAGAGTTTGAATCTC